CAGTTGTCTTCCTTCAAGCATTTATCCGTTTGTTCTTCGTCGCTTAGAGGATCTTAGAACGAATGTCCACGCTCACAGAAGCTAGTGTGCAAAGTTCTACGGTGACACTCTATCGTCGAAGTACTCGCACCTATGAAGAGCACTATCCAGTAACGTGCAGAAAGGCAGAGAGAGGTCGATTTGAGGAACGATTGAAAATGCTGGGTAGTTTGACAGAAGAGATCACTGAAGCCGAAGAAGAGGTAAAGATATGAAGAAAACTATTAGTTTAACCTTTTAGTGTTCCTGACAGTTGCTGTTAGTCATTATCTATGTGCAAACATTAGAATTTTGAAAAATGGTTTTTGAAATTCTGTGAATTACAGTTAACAGTAGCTGAGAGTTTTTTACATCTTATTTTTTACATTGGTCGTTGGTTAAATAATTTTCCTTACCTTACTAAAGATCGTTGACTTATTTTTTATCAATTTTTAGTGAAGAAACTGGTTAGAAATTACAGTTTTTATTTATCAATTTCTTTACTTAGTCTTTACGCTTGGTATTATTACTAGTTTTTTTACAGTCTGTAGAGAATAACAGTTGTTCTTCATCTTCGTTGAATCTTGAGGGTCCGTCACCATATACTCTGCCAATTGAAGACCGACTTTGGAGCAATTCTCGGCGTTTCCAGAACTCTTTTGTTTCGTGCCCTTTGGCTAGTCCAAAATTCGTTCGGCGTCCGTTCAGCTGCCGCGCACGTCTCGAACGGGGATTCAGTGAGCCAGCTCTTGGCCGGAAAAGGTTACAAGGTTAGTTTTTTCGCTTTGTTTAAACTCGTTTTCTCGGAAATGCATGTGAACTTTGTTGAAAAAATGTGCCGCTCTTAGTCACCAGTCCGTTTCTTGTCGTCTGAAGCACAGTATGCAATAGGAAATTTGTTTTTGAAATTGAACTTGATTATTCTATGGTTACATGGTTTTTATCTGACTATTACTTGTGTCCTGGGAAGTGTGATATTGCTGCACTTCTACCGCTGCATTTTTATTAACCATTTTTCAATTACAGTCTCAGTAAGGCGGAATAGTGGAAGCTTTGATCATATAACAGTGGATTTCCTGAATTTACCACCCATTCCCGAGTCTGATCCGTTACAGTTACGTGAGGAGAAGATAACAAAGTTTGGAGAGCTAAAAACTGATGACGACGATTCGTCTGAATGTTCAGAGACTCTTCAGACATCTCTATAACAAATGTATTTCTATCTCTTTTTTTGCAAAACGAAGGTCGAACTGGCATATTCAAGGTATTCATTAATTTTTTCAAGGAAAGATTCATTTTGGTTTTGATCGCACAGTAATATTGGAAGCATGTTAAGTTCTCGAAACTGAACATTTGATCTTTTGTTTATGCAGTTATTGAAATCGGTGGTATAGTGATTCGATATGGCTTGATTTTTTTTATTGGCGACAAAGAAATATCCGAATCACGTCGTTCTCTTATGCTATCACTTTAAGCTAATTAGCTAGCGCTTACTAAAATGGTATAGAAGAAAAGATTTTGGGCAAATATGTTTAGATACAGTATAGTTTATGGTATGGTTACTCTCAGTAAAGTAATGTTGCTTCTGTAGATCAGAAGCTTCAGGGATGAGAAATGAGTGGGCATCTGGCTTATTTATAAAGCTGTAGTCTAACGGGGTTAACAGGGTGCCTACAGTTTTCTTATGGTTATCGATCATCATGTTTTCTTGAATTGGTTGCGAAACTTTTATGCATGTTATTAGTTTTCTGTAGCTAAGTGAGATCGTTTCTAAAAAAAGATGAAAACTTAAATTTTTAATGCTATTTCTAGATGTGATAAAGAATAAGAACAGTTTGAAAAGAAAACTAAAGAATTAGGAGTGCTTTGATTTCATTTTTCTTCTTTATTTATTTTTGTTGTTCAATAAGTAGATCAATAATTCAGAGGACTGTAGGTGGGAGGAAACAAAATTCTAATCAGCTTTATATGTTCCTCTGTTTCAGAAATTTATTTTTGATGCAGAAGATACACCATTAGATATTTTGTCATATTATGCAGCGATGTGTTCAATGCTCGGTAGGCACAAATATGATCTTTTTTTCTTCTTTGTTACTGGAAACAACTTGAGACAGCAATTATATTAATTTATGAAAATGATTGCGGCGACAGTGTTGTATAAAACTTCAGGCCTCCTACAACTGCACTCCTTTTTATGTATGTTTTTTTATTATTTATTTTTTTTTTATTTTCAAATGCTTATAATAGTTCTGATGGGTTAATACGTATAATTGTAGTAGAGGTGTTATCCAACACTTCTCTCTCAGTTTTGGTTTTTTTTTTTGTTGTTGTTCTTCACGCTACTGCCGAAGTAACGGGAATATTGCTAAATTTTCATGGACAAAGAAACTGGTTTGATAATATCATTTTTTCAATTCCACTGTCGTTATTTTGAATCAGGAGGGGGATATGGGAAGAGAGCAGAAGGTGAGTGGCATAATGGTTGGAATTTAAGAAATTTCTGTTGACGTCATCACTGGGAGTCTTCGGAATTTTTGAAATTTGGATTTGTTTTCGCTTTTCTTTTTTAGTGCTGTTGTTTGTAAGCTTCAAACATAAGGAGCAAGTTTTGTTTTTGAATTAATGATGTGTTTTCAGCTATTAAATATTTATTTGTTGCGGTAAAAGAGGAAAAAAATGAAGAAAATTAATTTGGTTGGCTTTTTTTGACTAATCGGTGGCGACAGTTCCATAGCCAAAGGAATTATCAAAAAAATATTTTTTAAATTGCAATATAAACCAGTGATGGCATTCTAGCGCTGATTTTCGACAATCTCGACTAGCATCGAATGATTATTCACTGTTCTGGAAATTACACTTCTCATTCAGGTAATTGCTTTTTAACTGTCTTGAATCGGGTGGCTGACCACTTTTGATTTTCACATTTTTTGCTCAGAAGAAGATTCTCTGTCAACTGTTAGAGAACTGTTACCATGCAAGCAGTTTGGCTTGATTAACTAAAGACGATGACAAATAGTCTAGGGGAGAGGTTGGATGAGTTATTGTAGCTTGACTTGAATGCAAAGGTTTTTGATTTGTTAGGGCGTTTTTAATGTTTTTATGATTAGATGAAATTCCCCTACAGTTTATTTCCTCAAGATGATTCTTGCTAACCGATTTTTGGTCTGCATAAATGCGCTCAACTGCTAGTTGCGATGTTTTGATTGTATTATGCAAAGTCTTTTTAATCTAAATTTGCTCTAGATGGTACATTTGTTTATGAGCAGTTTTTTTTGCACAGAAAATTTCGTCTAATTTCAGAAATTTCTGGATGACTTTGTTCTATTTTTTCCTTTGCAGCTCGGCAGGACACTAAAGAGCTTAATTATATACTCTGGTAAGCAATCTGTTCTGTAGTTTATAACTTCTTTATTGGAGCTCAAGAGAGGAAAGGAGAGGAAGGAAAAAAGAAGAGCTGTTTGCAAATAGAATTTTAGTAATTTTTGCTGGGAAAATGGCTAGTGGAAATGCCGATATTTGAAAGAAAAAACAGTTGTTCTTCCTGAATTAAGGCATATTTACCGATCATTTTCCTATTCCAATTTACATATATTTCATTTGTGAACGCTTCTTTTGACAAAAACTGTTCGATGTGGTTTGAAAACAGTGCTGTTATTATTGTTTCTGACATTGTTCGCTTTTTTTTTGCAAGTTATATCACCACCTGCTGTTTCTGATTAGAGTTCAGTTTTGTTTTTTTGTTGTGGTTTGTTTTTTTTTTTTGGTTTTTTTTAGCCAGTCTAGTTATTACGGGTAGATTTGTATTAGCCTTGACTAAGTCTCGGATTCAAATGTCAAAAAAATTACGAAATGCGGTACCAATTAGCTATTCACTTATTGCCTTTGTTCCATCAATTAACTCACAGTGCTCTGACAAGTCCGAGTTTTTAACTATTTTTATCTATGATCGCATAGCGCATCTTTCGAATACGGTTTTTTTGTCTTTATAAGCGTCAGCACGATGATCTTGGCGAGAAACCGATGTGTCCACATGGTTAAAACGGTTCAGAAAAGCTTTTGTACGCTGTTGTAGTTTCAGACTTTTATATGTATACGTGTTTGTTCATGTTTGCTAATACTTACTTTTTCTCCAAAGTCTGATACTTTTCTTTAATTATATATCCTTGTTCTTTTTTTCAATTAAATGACGTAAACTGAGAAGGATTTCACTTTTGGTTTTTGAAGCAGCAAGAATACATGCTTTATTTTTGCTCTGGTATGCTCAATGTGATTTATAGTTCGCTGTGATCAAAAATTGCTTTTAATAACGGACCTTCAAACTGCAGTTACAATAAACATTTTCAAAGAAAGCCTTAACGACAATTTTGCATACAAAGTTTCATGCTGACTACTTCCACTTGCAGAATAAAAGTGTTGTATTTTTTTTTATAGAGAGGTTGGTCTGTTTTTGAGGTTCTTCTGCGTAGAAAAAAGTAGACAGAAAGTGACTTAGACGGCAACATTACAGGTAAGCGACCAACCAGTAGCTTTACTGTGAATAAGGAGTTGGGTCCGTTTTTGAGCTGTAGCTGCAACTTTTTTAGTTTTCAACCGAAATGTTCGTCCTGAATCTGATCAGTTGTGGATGAGGCGTGTGAAGCGGCACGCGACAACCACTGGATAGGTGCCGTGATTTTACCAGAAGAGAGGAACACTAAATAAATCATGGAAGGGAAGAGTCACCAAAAATGTGTAAGGGAAAAAGAATGGTTGCCGCAACATCACGACAGGCGACTTCAAGGACGTTTGAAGGTTTCTGAAGGATAAGTCACATCTCGCTTCTTTTTCAACTATCTTGATCTGAACCTTGGAGTTTTTGAGCAATAATATTTCTTCGCAGTTACGTACGAGAAGAACCAATCGGATGGTATCGGAAGACCGTATAGCAGATGGTTATGCAGTTCTTTGAAGGCCGTATTTTTAGTAAGTAATGTCTACACAAAACCTTCACTTGGAAGAGGAGAATGTAGAAATGATAACTTAAATTTTTATATGGTACAGAGGGAGAAATTTCCTTTTGGTTTGTGCTTTGAAAAAGCTCTAACTATTATCGAAATTCTCAAATTTTATTTCGTCGTGTTGCCAGGCTTAAGATTTCTGGGAAAGCATTATTCCGTTCTGGACGAAGAATTACAATTCCAAATGTTCAACTTCTAAAAAGAAAAGTATAAAAGATGTACAGCACAATTTAGCAATTTTCAGTTTTTCAATTTCTCTTGGTAAAACATGGAAAGATTGAGTATCAGGGCAAATAGAAAAAACGAAGCAATTAACAAATTTTAGATCTGTGGCGGGTTTGGGATGAAATTATTCGGTGAGGTAGAGCAAGGAATTCTGCGCGAAAAAATATATATGAGTGATTTCTTCGAGAATATATTTCACCTGAGTGGTACCAGTTTTCATTTTAAGGTCTTCAAGGATTGCAGAACTGGAAAGAGTTGTTGGAAGGAAGTTCTGAATTTGTCTACCCGGGCAAAAAACATTTTTTTACGGCTATAGATCGGCAAGAAGTGCCCGCAGTTTTGCAGTGAATAATCTAAGGAAACTAGAAAAGCTCAAAAAATTTTTACTCAATAGTGTCTTAGAGCTCTTCACAAATAAGCGGTATTTTTGTTTTTAAATAAACTTTTAAAAATGATTAGGAAATGATAGTGTACCATTTGACTGATATAGCTTCGATGATACATAATTTTGTTTACAAGTTTAGTTGTTTTTGAAGTGGTTCATTGGATGCTTACGTTTTGTAAAAACAGTCAGAGTAATATGAATGATCCAAGAAAGTCAAGGTTTCATTAGGTGCTTTATTGGAACGACATTATCTTTTCCAAATCTAAAGAAACTATTACTCGTTGTTATTTTGTGGTCTAACCCAGGTTTCGTACGTCTTTTATATTATTGTTAAGTGGAAGAAGTAATTCCTGTTGACACAGTAGTTGTAAAAAAAGAATTTTTAAATGGGTTAAAAGAAATTTGGACCAAATGGAACAAATATGAAAGGGAACGGATTATCTGTCTGTCATGCATCGAATGCTGTCAAATTTTTTAAAGCAGTCAAGAACAGTTTATGAGCATTGTGTACTATTGAATATACAGGTTTATTTGCCCTGTCTTATTTGTTTGCAGTATAGTCTTATCGACTTAAGTGGAAATCATAAACCTTATTGTCATA